GGAAGCTGCAGGTCCGCTCCGTCCACCTGGAAGCTGCAGGTCCGCTCGGTAGGACGAACGTTTTCTGTATTCACAGGTGATTCATGGTGCCCCAGCAGAAAGATCTACTTGGAAGTACTTCTGATTTTCTCTATTATCTTATTTCTCCATCAGACAAGCTCTGCACAATTCGTTTATTTTTGAAAATTGATTTTTATGGAACGAAAATAATTCATATTTCTTGAGCTATTTAATGAGACTGATTACTAATGAAATGAATCTTCAAGAGAAGATGGTGCCCCGAGGTTTAAAATACTAAATTCATAATGAATTAATCCTCAAACCCAGTGATGTCCAAAGTGCGGCCCGGGGGCCATTTGTGGCCCTTGGAGTGATTTAGTGCGGCCCACATTTGCAGTTTAAGGGTGGGGCCTGTAGGTTTGATCATAATTTTTAGGTTTAACAGCAAAACTAATTAAAAAGTCTCAAAATGAGCAATATTAAGTTTAATACAAGCCTTTGGCGAGAAATCAATAAAATAAAGTAAATTAAATTTAAATAATAAATTAATAAAATGATTGTTTGTCTCCATGTGTCCCTGTCATGGACTGGAGACATGTCCAGGGTGTCCCCCGCCCCTCGCACAGTGACTGCTGGACATGGGCACCGGCGACCCCCGTGACCCAAAATGCAAGAAGCGGGTAAAGATAATGGATGAATGGATAAATTAATAAAAGATTAATGTTTATGGAGCTTTTCATGTTTTGGATCTACAACAGTTCAGAACACCTCCTCCACCAAAACGAGTACATTTTGTCCTTTCTCCAAAATATTGTTTACGTTGAGTTAAATCAATAAAAACATGCTGATTATTATCTTTTAATTTACATTTTTGTGGCTCGTGTCTTTTTTCCTCTTCACGGTTTTGGCCCACATATGAAAATGTTTGGACACCCCTGCCCTATAACGGGTACTGGTTACCTGCGACCCTGAACTGGATCAACACGAGGAGGGATCGGAGTCTGGTCGGCTTTAATACCTGAGCTGGACCGGCTGCACGTACTCCTTCCTGAACCTCTGGAGTTCGGCTGCCGTTGGTGGATTACCATTCCAGATGGTCTGTCGTTCTTCTTCCTTCTCCTTCTCTGCTGACCCAGGGATATTGATCCTGAGAAAAGACGACGTTCAAGACTCTCAGGATACCCACAATGCATCAGCACGCTCCAACTCCCGGTTTCAAGGCATACCACCATGTAAAAAATTCATGTTAAAACGACTAAACTTTTCTATTGTGCCGTTCCTACATGTTAATTATTAATAATAAATTAAAGACAAATCTTTGTGTTTGTCCTACCCCATCGGTTCATTCTATCCAACAGCTCACACACCACAGGACAACAAACCAACAAGCTACAAGAGTTAGCATGTTACCAGGTGAACGAGCAACGCACTGACGTTCCCCGTCGCTGCGGGACTTGAAGAGTGAATGTTTGTGGTTCTCAACCCGAGTGTTTTTCTGGACCGGAACTGAACAGGGAATGAAAGTCAACCTAAATGTTTTTGATGGAAGACATTCAAGAAGGTAGGAGTTACACTGGAGAAGAACAGAGGTAGGTTTTTTTTTCCTTTTCTTATCCGAGGCCGCGCAGAGTGACGGATCCTTGAGAGCAATTAAATCCACCAGGTGCAGTGCAGGAGCCAGGGGGAGGCTAATGGTGGCCTTGGCCCCCAATAATTTGAGGAGACTTTACTTTTAAGCAATATAAAAAGTAGAAAGCAGCTTCCTCAAATGACTGAAGTGTGGTTGGTTCACACACACACACACACACACACACACACACACACACACACACACACACACACACACACACACACACACACACACACACACACACATAGAAACACACACACACACATAGAAACACACACACACACACACA